TAAGATATCGACGATTGTGCAAATAGTCCCTGTAAAAATGGAGGTACTTGCACTGACAAGGTCAATGGATATGTATGTAAATGTCCGGCAGGATGGGGTGGTCCTACTTGTGAGTTAAGTAAGTATATATTACCAATGAATCAATGCATTTCACACTGCGGTGGCCAGTTCGTGTCACGGAGGTCAGCGTGAGCTTCGGGTGTATTTACAACCGTAAATTGTCGGAGTATAGCGCACCTTTTCGTAGGTCGTCGAGTTTTAATTTCTCTGGGTCTTTCTGGGGGCATTACTACTGTTTGTAGCGTGCGTAGCCAGGCGTTCCTAGCGTGTCCGGGATAGTTTGGGCCGGAGAAACCTAGAGCTCCGTCTCAAACTCTCTCGGAGCCGCTAGGAACGCCTGGCTACACAGGCTATGAATGTAAAGGGATTTCTTTTAAAGTTGTTTGTAAGTACTCTAAATCTAGATTCTAACTATATTCTAGAAAAATATAAGTCAAACAACCTTCAATGTTTAAGTGCAAGGCTTATTGAGTGAGCTCGTCCTTGTGGTATGATAAACGGCGCTTGGCGCCAACAACAGTCAGAAATTGACTTTTACACTATCAATTACTATCAGAGACGGAATTGAACAATATAGTCCGTAATATTTAATGATTGCTATTTTGAAAACTGCACAAATTTCATTGATTTTTAAAATGATATTCGTGAAGTGACGGGTATTCTTTAAAGTTTGATTCAAACTGTTTGATTCAGTGTTCAAACTAAGGTCATGAATACACGGTTGATTTAAATAGTTGTGTTTTAATATTCCGTTCAAGTGCGGATCGAGGGGCCCTCCGTCTTGGGAGTTCTAAAAACAGAAATAAAATAAGAACAAAATATAAATTTATGGGGCTTATTTCTGAAAAACTTCTAAAGCGCCGTTCATCTGAAGTGAAATCTCATTTTTCGGTCCTATATCTATCTATTCAATTATTTTTCCTCGAGTTTGTCATTCCCATTTGTGATATTTTTGAACCAACACTGTTTTCAGTGTCTATTTGACGATTATTATGATATATATTCAGTGACCAGTCTTTTAAAAATTTACTTTTTAATAGCCTAATTCAAAGACAAAAATCAGACCTTAATTTTTATTGATTATGCTCAGCTCTTCCATTTTCATTCATTTTCTTAATTACTTAATTTTAATCAATATGATTCATATTGTAAATAATATATTTTTATCGCATAATTTTATTACTATTTTGAATATTTATATTAATATATTTTTGTAGATTTATCTTTGTAGATGATTAGTATGAGGGCCACTAGTTTATCAGTTGCAGTACTGTCAAGTGTCACCCTCTATAAATAAAGTTTATTGTATTGTATTGTTTTATTGTATATTGGACTAATATAAATATATAATCTGACTTTTTTTAGATTTAAATAAATGCCACGCAAGCACTTGCAGGAATGGAGGAACATGTATCCAAGTGACAGCAACAACATACAGTTGCAAGTGTGCCCCAGGATGGACAGGGAAAAACTGTGAAATCAGTGAGTAATTTATCATCGTTATCATTCATCGTTGTTCTTTGCTCTTCATAGATGGGAAAAAGTGTTGAAGTCAGAAATTAGATTAGAGTTTTTTCATGTCCATTGCCTTCTAATTCTTGCAAACTTTTGTTAGTTAATAGTCTACTTCACGGTTCCCTGCGACATCTTGAAAGGTAGCCTTGCCTTTGCATATAACAGCGACAACCAATCGAGCGTGCAATGATAGATCCTTGTGAATATATGTCTGTAGGTGTTAAAGAAGGTTTCTATCATTGCAAGCTCAACGGTCGTCTCACTTTCATGTGAGGCTACCTTTCATGATTTCAAGATGGCGTATGGAACCGTGAAAGAGGCTATTTTCCTGAAGAATCACTGGTTGTCTAGACATAAGACTCTTTTCTTACCCTACCCAAATATGAAATGATTTAAATGATTGAATCACAACACAAAATTAACATTTGCAGTGTCAAGGTGCAAAGATGAACACCTCTTACAAATGGAAGTTTGTCATATTTGTGTTGAAACACTCTAAATCTCTTGATANNNATCAAGTATGAGAAACTCTTAAAAGTGATACATGTGGTACTACACCTTGCAGACTGAATTAGAATTCCATCTTTATGCAGATTTCGACAACTGTGCKGCTAAYCCGTGTAAACATGGTTCTAATTGCACTGACCTTTTGGGTGGGTACAAATGTGAATGTGCAAGAGGTTATACTGGTCAAAACTGTGGAATAGGTATGTATWTAAAGACTTTTTGATATATAACGCGTGCTCTGATTGGCTGACGACCGTGTTTTTATCAGAGGACAGAGACACGGCTTACCGGCAGAATTTTCTTTTCGCTCGAAAAATTTGCTTGTGTCTCTGTCCTCTGATATAAACAATTTTGGAGTTGAAGAACACTCGAGAAGCAAGAGGAACACTCGCTACGCTCGTGTTACTAAGCTTGCTTCTCTCGTGAACTCCCGGCACCGTGTTTATATCAGAGGACAGAGACACGCGCGCCGTTTTATATTTCTTAAAAATAGATCGATTGATAGATGTATATGGGAGAATGGATGAATAAATGAATAATGGAAACTAGCACTTAACTAGTCTGAGCTGTGTCAGTGTTGCAAAAGAAACAGTTGTGATWTAAGATAAATTATATGTCACATATAAAGTATAAGAAGTATCCTACTAATGTTTGGGATGCTAGTCTTTCGAATGGTAAAAGAAACAAGGCTACAATGAAGGACTTACGTCCGAAATGTCAGACATACTTCTCATGGTGTTTACATTGGATAATTTATCGTATTTTTTTTATGAAGAAAACTGACTTACTTTAATATCTTCCCTACCAGTTATAAAGTACTGTAGTGCATCAACATGTAAGAATGGTGGAGTATGTACAGATATAATAGGTGGTTTTACATGTAAATGYGCATCAGGATATCAAGGCAGCCGATGTGAAGCAGGTAAGTTTTGGATGCAATATACATTTCACCRCACTTGTACAAATTCTCGCGCGCTGATTGGCTGATTAGAGTGTGTCAATAAGAGGACATGCGCACTGTGCTGACACTACGTCTCGCGCGCACTCAATCAAACGAAAAGAATGATTTTCGTTATTTTTATACTAAAAATGTGTTTAAAAAACAAATTGCGCACGGTTTTAGTCTTCTTCACAGTTTATTTTTTTTCGGTCCAGTATCCTAGTCATTCGCGCGCTGTGATTGGCTAGCGCGCGGTGCGGTTATTCACGATCTGTCCGRTAGGCTGCGAGCAAAGTTGCATAAAATACAAATAAGAAAACAATAAAAATGTTATTTACCGGCTATAGGTCGGTCCGTATAGGAAAACACTGCCCTCGGTCTTTTATGTACGGACCTCGCTGCGCTCGTTCCGTACTGTCAAGGCCTCGGGCAGTGTTTTCCTATACGGACCTCTCAGCCGGTAAATAACATATATTCCCTGTGCGCCATCTTGAAAGGTAGCCGTGCCTTTACATCGAAGCGAGACGACCGTTGAGCATGCAATGATAGAAACCTTCTTTCACACCTACAGACAATTATTCATAGGTATCTATCATTGCACGCCATAAATGTAATCAGAAATTATTTTCCAAACTAATAATAAATAATAATGATTGGCGTTAAACGTTGCTTGTCATCTCCTGGCAGACATGACAAAACTCGGAACATTAGATGGTGCGCCGGATTGCCAGACTTCTAGCTATAGTTCTTCTAGCTATAGTTCTTCTAGCTATAGTTCTTCTAGCTATAGTTCTTCTAGCTATAGTTCTTCTAGCTATAGTTCTTCTAGCTATAGTTCTTCTAGCTATAGTTCTTCTAGCTATAGTTCTTCTAGCTATAGTTCTTCTAGCTATAGTTCTTCTAGCTATAGTTCTTCTAGCTATAGTTTAAATCAATCTTATTTGATCACATACTATCAATATTATCTGCATAGATATCAACGAGTGTGCTGCATCAAACCCTTGTGGTGTTGGTGGTTCATGTAAAAACTTGCCTGGTTCCTTCGAATGTACATGTCACGCTGGTTATAAAGGCAGCAGATGTGAAATTAGTAAGTAAATACTTGATATGTCAAGATGTTTGTGTGCTGATTTTTCMCCATCKTTCCTAGTGACCTATTATTAACTAAAGACAAGTTCAACAYTCCGCTACAACGAACACCTCCATATTGCGGACAGTACAAATGCTGAATCCCCGGTGAAAAATACAAAGAAATGACTGAAAGTAACTCTTGTTACTACGGACTCTCGCTACTGCGGACACTAAATTACGGTTCCGAGGGTGTCCGTAATAGCGAGAGTTGACTGTATTGTCTGATAATTGAATATTTTTGTTTGTTTGTTTGCAGACATTGATGATTGTGCAAGCCATGGTTGTCAGAATGGAGCCACATGTGTAGACGGAGTTAACTCTTATACCTGTAGATGTGCTACAGGATATACTGGAAACACTTGTGAAACAAGTATGTAATGGACGCCGGCACATGTTAAATCGGCATCTCTTACAATCTTTTACTTACAGTCAGTCCCGTTAAGGCATATCAAAGAATTGCCCCTCAAAAGTTGTCCTTCGCTTAGCAGCCATATATGGTAATCTTATMTCATTTGGAAGTACGATAGGAATGGTTTTTGCCGATTTTCTCGACTTTTAAAGCTTGAAATCGTCTGAAACTTGCAGATATTATAACGAAAACACTTCTCAACAATCGGCCATTTTGTTTGTGTCCATATATGGCATGGATTCGCTAAAGGAAGCCCAAAACTAAAAAGGGAACCCGCACGAATGACATACAATTCTTTGATATGTTGTTTAGTTGTTATGACAAAAAATAACCAACAACGCCATGTGTACAAAACTTTTTTTTTTAATTCCCAGAAAGAATGTTCATTCTAAATGATTTCCGAAGATTAAAATTATGATATTATCAAGGTTCAYGCTACCTACTCCTTGAAATYCTTGAAAAGTCCTGGAATTGAAAACTCGTTTTCAGGGGTGCTTATGAAAAGCCCTTGAAATTTAAATAAGGAAAATTGCTAAAACTCCTGGAAACTCCTCTGATGAAATTCAACTTTTGGATTGAAACGCGGCTATTTTATGAAATCACCACTGAGAACGTTCACAAATATCAAAAATATATATTCAAAAATAGTCCTTGAAAATCGCATTTTTTGTTTAAAAAGTACTTGAAAAGCCTGGATTTTGGTAATGAAAATGTAGCACGGAGCCTGTAATGTGCTGTCTTTACAAATGAACAATGTTTATTGGATTGACTGTATGAAAAAGAAGACAGCAGAATATAAAAAAGTTAAAGTGCCAGACAAAAAAATTCTGATTCTTTGTGAGCTGATTCTATATAAAATAAACAATCGAATGGTGAAATATTCCTACATTTCAGTGTTGCGTCTTTAAGTTATGAAGGTTCAATCTTACAATATGTTAATGAAAATGACGTCAAAGAAGGCTTCCTTAGATATGCGAACTTTGCAGTAGTCGCTTAAAAATGGTTTCATGGCATTAAATTTATCGTATGGAATGTAGGGAATAACCATATTACCAGATGGCGTTCATGAAAACATTTTTGAGTGACTGTTTCAAAGTTCGTATATTTAATGAAGCCTCCCTTGACGTCATTATCATTAGCATATTGGAAGATTAAACCTTCAAAACTCAAAGACGCAACACGAAATGCAGAAATATTTCACCATTCAATTATTWACTTTATATAAAATCAGCTCACAGAGAATCAGAAAATTTTTTGTCAGGCGTCATAGGCACTTTAAGTTTACCATTTTTCAAATGATACCTTTTAGACATCAACGACTGTACTGCTAGCTCTTGTTTAAATGGAGGAACCTGTGTGGATGGTGTCAACAAGTTTACATGCAAATGTCCTGTAGGTTTCTTGGGAAGTCGATGTGAAACAAGTAAGAAAATATCAAATATTCTCATTTCTTAAAGAATCACAACCAACCGCCGTACCTYGCGAACCGAAGCGCCATTTTGGACACGAAAATGATGGACTCGTAGGATTTATGAAAGTGAGCGCGAATCGTCTTCCATCTTTTCAGTTTGGACAGAAATACCTTTAACTAAGTACCTCACAGGTACTATCAATCTATAATCTATTGTATGCTTGACGCATTTCAACGTATATAAACAATATAACAAGATCGCGCGCTGTATTGTGGTTGGTTGGAATTCTTTAACTAAGTACCTTACAGGTACTATCAACCTATTATCTATTGTAGGCTTGACGCATTTAAACGTACATAAACAATAACAGGATTGCGCGCTGTATTGTGGTTGGTTGGGATTCTTTAAGGAACAGATTTAAATTTCGTTAGGCTTGGCTTGATATGCAAAGTAATCAAAGGCACGTTAGACGATACTTATAAAAAAGAACAACAGGCTTCAGTTTTAACATGTTTCGGCGATCAATCCCCTTCCTCGGATACTTTAATTGTACCTTTATAGGTAGTATATATAGGAAGATACTTTACTAGGCTACAGTGCAAAAGTTAATGAACAAGGATGGAAAATAAACAAGGATGGAAGCAGCGAAAAAAGAAAAAAAGTGTGGAAAAAATGRTAAACKAACACAATAACGGATTAGTTAATTGATTGATTGTTTTATGAGGGAGTCAGTGATTTCTTTGTCTTATTATGCTATRATATTTTTCATTTTCAGATAAGGATGATTGTGCAAACAATCCTTGTTTATATCAAGGGACGTGCGAGGATTTAGTCAACAATTTTAARTGTCACTGCACTCCCGGATATACTGGGAACAAGTGTGAAACAAGTATGTGGGCTCCCTGTGCTCTCTGTTATTAGTATTATGAGACCTAATCGGCTAACGCGTTGCTATGTACGTTACAACCCAATTCAAATCCTGTGGGAAAAGCAAGTTTTGTTTTTAAGAATTCAATTGTGAAATGAAAATACAACGAACATTGAAACTTACTCCCGGGTGGTTTGAATTGGGTTGAAGCCGATYAGGACTATTAAATTACGTGCAGTGATGGCTTTCAAGTTGTACTGAATATTCTATTTATATTTTACACCAAGGAAAAAGTCAATAGAAATTCAATCACCAATCCTGTGCTTAATTCACGACTATAGAATATTGATCCTTTTAGCAGCCAAATAGAGTATAAAAGATGCAAAAAATTGCTCCCTTTCTTGTTTTTTATTAATTGATTCAGGGAGGAGCTTTTTGGCCCAAACCTGTAAACCAAACGCCCTGGGAATCAAATCATGTGCATAACATTAGCAGAAAAGCAATAAGCTGAAGTCCATGCAARCATGTTAGTCTCCTTTGCGCATGTTTTTGTTTCAGGAGTGACAGAAGTTCGTAAACAAAAACGGGCGTGAAAGATAATAAGCAAAAATTAGTTAAAGAACAAGCAATTATTTGTAAAACGTGTAATAACTATTGAATTGTTCAATTCATTATAGATATCAACGATTGTCTTAGCGTGACTTGTAAAAATGGAGGGACGTGCAATGATGGAATAAATTCTTATTCCTGCTCATGTCGAAGCGGTTTCACCGGGACTCACTGTGGGATTAGTAAGTAACAATATTTACCTATAATGTTTAGAAACATATCCTTGTGGTGAGGTATTTTTGGGGCGTCACAGTGGGGACTCTTAGGGATGGGGGCACGCCCTATCTTGAATGAATCATTCTGAGTGATCCAGAAATTCACAGTCGCTT